CAACTGTGTGATTTCGTCTAGCCTATCAGTCGACTTTTGAGTTTTTCTTGGCTGTGGTGTTTCCTGACTGACATCTTCATCACCTGCGATAAATCCTTTCTGGATTTTCATCAAATATGACATGTACTGATTCTTCTACAGATAAAGTACGTTTATTATAAATTCTAAAATATCTACTGTTAATGGAATATCCCAGAAAAATACCTTCATCACTTCTTGGATCAAATTTTCTAAGATGGTCCTTACCATTGTTATGGATAAAACATTTTCTACCAAAAGGATGGAAATAACCTATGTTGGGCCGTTTACCTTTCCGTAATTCATATGGAGTCTTCTTCAAGATGGGTCTTATAAGACATCTGTTGAGAGTATGGCAAGCTGTGCTTACTGCTTTTTCCCAAAAGTGGTTTGTCAAGGAATATTCTAATATCATTTTTCTGGCCATATCTTGTAGAGTTCTATTTTTTCGCTCAACTACTTTATTCTATTGAGGTGATCTTGAAGCTGAGAAGTTGTGCGTATATCCTTGATCATTACAAAAATCTTCAAATGCTCTATTTTCGAATTCTCCTCCATGATCACATTGAATAGTTGTAATTAGATACCCCTTTTCTCTTTCAACTCTTTTACAGAAGATCTCAAATTTTTTCAAAGCTTCATCTTTGTGAGATATAAAAATCACCCATGTAAAGCGTGAGTGGTCATTAGTAATAACAAAAGCATATCGTTTTCCTCCTATACTAGCATGGGTCCAAACAAATGCATATGGAGCAATTGTAAAGGCTTGGTGGTAGACACAATGTCTTTGTTTTTGAAAGAGTTTCTGGTTTGTTTACCAATTTGACATGCATCACATACATGATTTCTGGAAAAGTTGAGTTAGGGAGACCAATAACTAAATCATGCTAGGAGAGTTTCTCAATAAGATGCATGCTTACATGACCAAGTTTCTTATGCCACAACCAAGGATCATCAGATATAGATCCTAAGCAAATGTGACTATCTAGATTTTAAAAACCATCAAGAATATAAACATTTCCATACCTTTTTCCTAGGAGTATTATTTTACCTGTCTCATCTTCAATAGCACAACATGTTTTCTTGAATTTAACTTTGTACCCTGAATCACATAGTTGACTTATACTTAGGAGATTGTAGTTGAGTCCATCTACAAGATACACTTCAGTAATATCACAATTGTTACTGAATGGAACTGTGCTAGTGCCAACTATCTCTCCTTTTGAGTCATCGCCAAATTTGACACTTCCTCCATTTATCTTTGTAACTTCTTTGAACGGGTTTTTGTCACCTGTCATGTGACTGGAACACGCACTATCTAAGTACCATTTTCCTTTGCGACTCTTCCTATGGTGTTCCTGCAAAATAGAATTATCACTTTCTTTTAAGTACCCAAGCTTGCTTGGGTCCTTGTTGGCTAGTTCTACTAAGATCAGGATTGCTTTTGGGTTTCCAAATCTATCCTGAAATATTAAATTTACGAAATCAACAAAAAGAGTATTTATGACCACTTTTATTACAGTAGTGACACATAGTGGCTGATCCAATTTTTGATTTTTCGCTTGTGTTAGTGCTTGTGGACTCAGTTCTAACTGGTCCTTTTCCAGTTGACTTGTAAGTCGCCTGGTTAGACTTGACAGAATTGTGACCGGTGGACTTGCGCATGCCATTACGTTGCATTCGCAATTCCTGAATTTCATCTTGAAGTACCTCTTTTTCAATTTCACATACTTCAAGCTTGAGTTCACGGTCTTTCTTTTCCCTATTGAATCTTCTTAGTTCATTCATCATTTTTTGAGACTCCTTTAGAGTAAGGTCAAGAATATCCTATAATTTATTACATCTATCACAGTTAAAAGATCTTACCTCGCTTGTTTCACCTCGTGCCATGAAACAATTTTCATTATCATCTTTGCATTCGTCGTCTGATGCATCTTTATCGGTGGAGAGATTATTCATGTCGTTTTCCAGAATTTTCATGAAGCATAGATTTACTATTTTCTCGTGTTCTGAACTGTCTTCATCACTCTAGCTTCCAAAAGATTTGTTTTCATTGAATCCTTTGAAAACCTTTCTTTTAAGATCTGGGCATTCAGCTTGAACATGGCCATATCTTCCACACTCATAACATTTTCCATCATTCTTGTCTTGTTTATTATATTACCTGGTTCGTCTGGGAGGCATCCTACCTCTTCTTCTGTTTCTGTATCTTCTCATTAAACTATCCATGTTCCTTGATACCATGGCAATCTCTTCTTCAAGAGCTTCTGGGTCGTCATCAATATCATTTTCTGGTCTTTCAGTTGTAGCTTTGCAGGCGACTGTTTTCTTTTTTCTTCCTGGTTTGTTTTCTTGAGGTGAGTTTTCTCGAATGCTATAAGATCTCCTCGGAGCTCATCATACAATAATTTGTTTAGATCTTGTGATTTGAATGCAACTACTTTGTCTATCAAGTGGTAGGTAGACTCCTCAGAATTTTTTGAACTTGATAACCACTTGAGTATGGTTTACCATAAGCTTTTAAATCGCTAATGATTTTGCTGAAACTTGCAAACATTTCCTCAATTGATGCTTCTTCTTTCAACTGGAAGAGTTCATAGTCATGAACCAACATATTAATGGGAGTTTCTTTCACTTTGCTGGTTCCTTCATAAGTGACTTTCAGTTTATCCCACATTTCTTTGGCTGTATCACAACTTGAGATTTTCTCATATTCCTCTTCACTTATAGCATTGTAGAGTAAATTTCATGCTTTAGCATTGACTTGAACATCTTTCATTTGCTCGTCTGTGTACTCATCTATATCTTTTGGATCAGCAGGTGGTTGAGTAGTTGCTGGTAGTGGATAGTTCCCCTTTTTTGATAACGCGCTATACTTTGACATTATAGGATTTTACATATATTTCCATACGCACTTTTCAGTGAGAAAAGTGTTGTCCATTGAAATATGGTGGCCTAACTTGCCTTCATGAAAAACTGCTCCAACAATTACTTGATTTGCCATGATCTTTTCTCACAAGTTGTTAAGCAACAAGTATGAGACTAGCTCTAATACCAATTGAGAGTACAAGAGGGAGGGGGTGAATTACTTATTTAGAAAATATATTATAAGTAGTTGACTAGTTTACCAATTAATCGACTAGAAATAGAAACAAGATAATACTAATGCAGAAATAAAATGCAAGAAATAAAGACACCAGAATTTTATACTAGTTCGAATTCAACGTGAATCCTAGTCCAGTTCCCTTGGGTTGCAAGAGTGTTCTCTTTCAGTGATCGAAGTTTCTTGAGTACAGAATGGTTGATGTAGCTTTACACCAACAGAATGATCTCTATGTTACTTTTCTCTTCTTGATACAATACCTCACCAGTGTTTAACTCTTTTTCTTCTCTCACTAATTGCACAGCAGATCTATGAGAACTACAATGCTTGTTTGGGATAGAACAAAAGGAGTGAAAATGATTCGTTCAAAGTATATTTTCTTCTAGTCTAGAACATATGTATATATACACTTCATGAGGACATATTGACTCGTGAATCTTGAGAGATTGCAAACCCAAGGGAGTTGATCCTTGAAAGGAATCACAGATTGATTCTGTCCAAGAATAAAGTCAAGTTTCCGTTGATCTTCCTTGATTTGTGGTCTAGATGGACTTCTCATCCTCTAGGCATATCTTTTCATTACTTGAGGCGTATCCGCTAGATCCCTTGATTTCTGGCTTCAACGGGCTTCAGTGCTTCACTTTGCGATCTCGTTCCCTTTAATTTTGGGACCTTCCAGTAATAGCTTCCGTCAATCATTTCTAGAATTGCTTATTGATTCTTCTTTCGGATCTCCGCTGCTTCTTCCTTTTTCATCGCTAATCATTGATTCTTTTGCTTGCGTTGCTGATTGTTTCCTTAATCAATTCTTGACTGGTATCGCTTCTTGATTCCTTTGTTTTATTCCTTGTGATCCTGCACCAAATGTGATATATTATTTTTCATCATTCAAACTTATAGTTAACAGTATATGATAGCCTCGGTTCAAATAAAGAGTGATAACCCCACTTACAAGAGTCTGTCTCTCCCTCTACCGCTCCCCCTTTCTTTATTTCCTTATCATGCTACTTACAAGATATAACAACAGGTAGTTGTCTTAAGAACTAGTTACCCGAAAAATAAAATAGGACCTACGCTACAAGTTGTTAAATTATATTAACAATACAAAAAAATTATATTAAATAATACTTTATCAGTTTTAATTTATGTGAACCTATTATTATTTAGAGAGTTAAATAAATTTTTTTAATCATATTTTTGTAAATATATTTTAAAATTTTAAGTTGTTAATAATTGTGAATTATTTATATATATATATATATATATGTAGTTTTCAAATATGTAAATGTCACAAATTTTGAAAATTTTATGGCCTAAATCACACAAAAAATTAAATTAGTTAACTTGACCTTCCAATAAACTGAAACAGAGGAAGCATATATTTTAAAGTTAAATATATTTTTACACCAACATTTCACTCTTCTTCGTCTATCAGTTTTGACTGTCTTTGAGTGAGTGCCTTTTTAAGAAATAAGTCAACGTTTGTCAGAAAAATGACGTCCGCTTCCACGTCATACTCAAGCATGTCCATCTCATATAATCTAACTCAACTGAGCTCTCCATTCATTTTAAACACTTTTCTTCACTTTCAAAAACACTTTAAAAAAATCCTCTTCATGATGTACGGATATAATACAAATGAAAACACTTCTCATGTGTATGATTCTAGTGAATACTTAAGTCATTTTTCCCCAACCCCTTTGATCATTCTTTCATCGGAAATCGGTTATAACCAGGTTCGAAATTATGGATCCGCCTCTGATTATAACGTATGTAGTGGATGTAGTAGCTATGGTCTTCTAGTTCAGTTACAAGTTATGGAATGAATGACCATAGTTTGATTCCAAGAAACATAAGCAGTCACTCACTTGTAAAGAACATGGAGGGACTTGTTTCTTCCCCACCAAATTTTCTTGACTCAGAAGGTAGCTCCATCAGAAAGGTTTTTAGCACAGGTGATTTGCAGGTAATTAATAATAATTACATCCTTTAGCATAGGTAATAAAATCATATAGTTCACTAATATGAAGCGTGACATCAAGCTGTGTTGTTTTTAGAAGATTTACACCATCAGTGTAATTTAACTGGTTATCGCATATTATTGGAGCACTCAATTTTTCGGGCTGTTCCTTTCCATATTAGGCTTGTTACCGAGAGTTGTCTATTATTATAGATTAAATTGATTAGATAATATAAAAACTCTTCAGACAATGCACAGAACATAAGCAGAATTTATTTATTTTTTTAATTATTTACGTACATTGATAATTGTTAGAAAAAAATTACACTATCATCATATTTCAACCTTCTGTAGCAGATAGCCTCCATTATTTTCTAGGTTATTAATGCATCTTTTATGAGCAAATACTTATACTTCCTCTATTTCAGTTTATGTGAACCTTTTTTATTTTCAAGATTCAAACTATATAATTTGACCAACATTTTGAAATATATTTTTTCATCATATTGACATGAGAAGAATTACAACTTATTATACTTTTCGTGTAGTTTTTGAATATTTAAATTTTAACTTTAAAATATTAAGTTAATCTAATTCAACTTAGTTTCAAAAAACGCAAAAATTTACATAAACTGAAATAGAGAGTATTATGTTTTAGTGACCTAATAGAATAAATAAGACAAGTGAGCTTGCTCAGTTGGTAAAAGCACCTCCACCCAAGACCGTTAAATCCTGGCTTCGAATCACACTGGGGGGAAAGTGTGAAAACACTATAGATCCTCCTAATTTGGGAGGGGTTTAAATAAATAAAAAATAGCATAAATAAAGTCGAGGATAAAACTCGTTTGTCATGGCCCGCAATGCTCCTACACTAATGCTGTGGCAAATGGCAGTGTTGCAACATCTCCGCCTCAGTGTCTGTCTGTATCTTCTTGCACAAAATCCTGTGTCCGCCTACAAATTATACATCGTCATATCACACTAATATGAAGATCACTCGACTTTAGGTCTCAAATTAAGCTTCCTAATAAACATTATTAAGAATTATTCAAGTGTGAGGATAGTACTTTGATTCTTTGTTTATTCAACTAATGCATGTGTAATATTAGGGAATGCAACAAAATCAGCGGTCAGAAAGTTGGCTATCAAATGAGAGTAACAGCATAATCGAAGGAATGACCAAAGGTTGCAAATACAGTCCCGAAGAGAAGAAGGAGAGGATTGAGAGATACAAAAACAAGAGAAATCAACGAAATTTTAGCAAGAAGATTACGGTAATATATTTTCTTTTAGGGATTCAAAAACCTTAGAGAAACCTTTTCTTTAAGAAAAGATATTTAATAAGAGTGAGTAATAAGACCCACGTGAATTAATATTAATGATTCAAAATGGAATTGAGATAGTAAATTAAAGACATGTAAAACACGTACCATGTGAATTGCAAGACTTTTGTTATTATTATTTTAGGGTCCGTAGGGTTGCTCTCCTAGTTTCCATCTTGACTTTTGCTATGTCCAAAGGCGCGCAGATGCAGCCTTATAGTACCAGTTTCGTCTGAATTCAATACTTTTGAGGTAGTGTATAAATTTATGGTGTTAAAATTCACTAATGTTGCAATAATTAATAGATCAGAACTCATAATGTTAAAAATATAAGGTTTCAACGCTAAAATTTTTATAGGTTGAATTCATAGAATTTAAATTCCAAATCGCCTATGATTAAGTCTAATATCGAATTTCTTGTTGTCAATTATCAGTATGAGTGCAGAAAGACTTTGGCAGATAGTAGACCTCGCATTAGAGGAAGATTTGTAAGAAATGACGAAATAATTGAGAAGACATCTCAGAATGAATTTAATGAGGCAGAAGTAGAAGAAGACGAGGACGTTGAGGACTGGATTAGCTTTCTTGATGCCTTTTCAGCAAACATTTTTCCCTAATCAAATTGAAATTAAGGAAACAAAAGGAGTTCCTCAAGTTTAACGTTTGGCAACTCCTTTATTGTATGGTAGTTGTTGCCTTCTAGTTTTAGTAATGTATGTTGGACGATTACATTAAGGATCAAGTCCAATTAATTGCACAATGTTTAATAACAATTTGAAGCTTATGTTCCCAACTTTTCGTTTAGAAGCCCGCAAGGATTGAATGATTTGGTTGGGTGAGTGGTTTCCCACATGAGAGACTTAGGATAGATTCCCCTCACCAACAGCCTCCTCAGTCAGAGCTCGTCACACCGGGTGTGTCTAGTGCGATTTACATCTCCTATGTGATTTGTGAGCTATTGCACAGTGAGCAAGTTACAGCGTGCGCACCCGGAGGATAGCGGCTGCGAGTTTCCCTGGAAATTTTCCAAAAATCGTTTAGAAGAGTTTAAATTCTACACTTCGACATAAAAATTTTAACACAATCAGATCACTTAAAAAGCATAAGAAATAACTCCTTATTTTTACTTGGAAAAAGATTGCCTAATAGTGTAGATTAAAATACAGTGATAGTGGAAGAAATAGTTGCACTTTCAGTTTAAATAATTTCTTTTTAGAATTGGCTATCTCCTGATGGGGTTCATCCAAGATTTAGTGTGTGTGTTGTCTAATCCGACAATAAGGATCACAAATTATGCGTGAAACTCAATAGTCCCATGCATTATCCCCTACCACGCAAATATTCGCATTCAATATTTGGAATTTTTTGCATGTTCAACCAAGATCTTTATTGAACCATTACATATATGATTTGCCACAAAATAAACCTTCGTACCTCAAAAGAAACTGCTGAGGTGAAATCATGGTTTAAAATTTAAATTCCGGCAAAGACAAAAATAATACTAGGTGCTTTTATTCCGGTCTGCCTAAGCCTCGATGAGAAGAGTTACCTGGTAACTGGTAAGTCATTATGTAAGGTCGCAAGTATCTGATAGAATAGACGAGATGAGCACAAGTGGTTAGACACGACTGGATTCAAAAAGAAATTGTTGAGGTGACAGTTCTTTTTAAGTAGTTTAGCCACTAGAGTAACAACTATTTACTGATTCTTAGTCTAGTGCTTAGCACTATTCGTCATATCAACAAATAATCATGAATAGAGTTTTGACGAAACTACTAAGATTTTATCCATCACTTACTGTGCAGAGTGACATAGGCATTTAACGGAAAACATTTCAAAAGGGAAATTGGTTGCTTCCCTTATACTAGAGTACTCAAGTCATAAAATGAGACTTCTATTAAATACTACTATTTCACATTCAAACAAATTTCCATCCACATTAGTAGTTCCATTTTCTCAATTGGCAGATCTGGAAAGTTAGAAACGAGAGTTTGTCAATTTTGACAACATACTTCATCATGCCAATGAATTTTTGTACCTTGCTAGGCCTTAAAACATTTCCTCTTCTAAAATATGTTTGTACATGAAGTGGCATCCTCCAAATATTGGGTCTTATAAACTAAATACTGATGGTCCCGCTCGCTCAAGTAGTAGTTTCTCAGGATATGGCTGTGTCATCCGAGATTCAACAGGCAATTAGCAACTTGGCTTCTCAGGTTGCTCATACCAGGCAAATAGCCTCCAATTAGCAAAGATGTGGTTAGATGAGAGCAGAGGCAATTTCCAAATTATTACTCCTAAACCTTAACAACTCAGTCATCAGGGAGACAAAAGAGAGAACTATTCTGTCAAATTCTTTGGATATTCGTATTCTTAAACCACCCAATCAAAAGGTGAAGTGAGTGCACAGGCGAATTCAAGATTTGAACATTATAAGTTCGAGTTCAAAATTCTACCCCGTCTATTTGATTTTTTACTAGATTCGAAATTTCTAATTTGTGTTTATTTATTAGTGAAATTTTTAACACATTCAGAGTCTGAGCTAAAATACTAGGTTCAGATGAACCTGAAACTCAGTGACTACATCCGCCTCCGAGTAAAGCACAAATCAACAATACGATCTCTACGTTTCTTCAAGGCCAAGGGACTAGTGTACCAAGATGACTACACTAGGGATTGTTTGGTTATTTCGGATATAAAATTTAGGATTATAGTTATCTCATGTTTGATTGTGATTACCAGCTAATATTGGTATAAATTTTATATAAAATGATGGTATTAGCTATCCCAGAATTATAATCCCATAGGATATCCCTAAACTACCAAACAATCCATAAGATACAACCCCCACCACCAAAGGGCATACAGGAACGAGCAGTAATCATAAATAAAGCTTAAGCTGCTGCTTTAGAATTCCCTACTATTCTCAGGACTCGGGCGTCTTTTTAACTTGAAAGAGCATATTTGGCTTTAAGAGCCTGTCTTACCTTTTTGTTGAAAAATAAACATTAGAATCTAGTGCTTAGATTAAGAGAAACTAAGAACGAAAATTCTGCTGATACTGGCTCACAACACAGCCAATTCTTTTTTCTTTTACTCTTTCGGTTTGTTTGTTTTGATAATCGAGAAATTCCCGAAGGGCTTTTGTCCGCAAGAGAAATAATCTAGTAAAAAGAATATACCTAGACCAATATGTATTTAGTACTTGTAGACTAAGTTGCTCGGACTTCGGTGCGAGTGTCCGATTACGGGCGCAAATCTAGAGGTTGAATCCTTCAATTATCTAAACTTTAAAAACCCATGCAAGGATAGAGGAGAGGGTTTCGACAAAAAATACTTCAAATATCGAAAAATAAAGTTATAACATTATGTCTAAATTTTGAGATATTGTATGAAAAACTTCCAAGGTATTCCAACAAGGAGAAAATTTTGATCAAAAGGATTATCTGAGAAGGAGATAGAAAGAAAAAGGACGGACATAGAAATTTCTACATACAAGGTATTCTATTTTCTTCAATTTCACCCTAGCTTCTGTTTTGATTTCAAAATATTTATCCCGAATTTATCCGATGATTTTGGTCGAAGTACCCAAAATCGGTTGAACAGATCCGGTACAGATCCCACACCCACACCCACCCATGTCGCATTGACACGAGTGCGGTACTGAAAGTGAAGAGTCCGAGCAACTTAGCTTGTAGACATTTAATCAGCTTCATCATAACCTAACTTATTTTCCCATGTGATGTGCATGAGCTGTGAATCTTATGCTGAAAATCTATTTCAAAAACTCAGGGCATGTATATGAGGAGCAAACATCAAACTAGCAAAACAATTGCAAAAATCTAGTGCTTAGATTAAGAGAAACTAAGAGAGTGGAAAATTCTGGGCAGATAAAGGCTCACAACAAAGCCAAATCTTTTTTCTTTTTTTGGTTGGTTTATTTTGATAACCGAAAATTCCCAAGGGCAAGCTACCGCACGGTTCTTTGTCCGTGCATGGTCCAAAACTCATGACATGCGCGTAACACACGTCATGTTCTGCACTCTCGCCACTGAACCAAAGCTTTGAGATGGCACAGCACGGCAAATTCTTAGCTACTAATAAAAAATATTATAGGTATGCTCTAGGTCCACGTTATTTACATGTGTACTTCTCGATCCCTAACGTTTCATCCTATCTGCCTAAATTAGCCAAAGCTACTAATAAAGAATTACAGAGCAAGAAAACGAGGAATTACCTAATGTAGAGAGTAGCATACAGGAGACAAAAAAGTAGGCTTTTCTTTTCTCCCTTTTTTTTTCCCT